AATTAGGGAGAGGAATGACCTATTTTTATGACATTATTATTCATTGCATGGATTAGCTAAATGCCTGTGAGTCAGCTAACCACGGCAGCACGTTTCAGGTCGCTGGCAGTGGGTGACACAGTCCCTCAGGAGCCCAATGCTCGGACTCATTGTTACAACAGGGGAGGGGGTGATGAAGAGAATGGGGTGACCTGCATGTCCCCTCCATGCCCTCACCCTTGCGAAGCAAGGAGGTAGCCCGCCTCTGTGCAAAGAAGGTGAAAACACATTGGAAAAATCTTCAAACATGAAGAGTTTTCTGTGTGGATGATGACAGCGTTGAAATGACGCACCTTAGAATGGTGACTCATGAAGTGCAGTCAGTTTGCTGTGGGATAATGTTATTGGAATCTTGAAGCAACTAGATAGAAAACTGAATTTCTGATGATGGACTTTTAATCTGGGAGTAAAAGGTGTGTTTTCACCCATGATTAGAAACTGAAACTGAAGAAGAGGCTGATGCAAATTTTGCCAGAGTTTAAATTAACCTTTCCATGAATTTACTAAGATGTAGAATATTTTATTCATTAGTTGCTATTTTTTGAAAGAAATTTTGTGTTTTCTTAAGGCTACATGCTCTAATCAAACAAGAATTATTTAGGAAATAAATTATAAATTAAATTAACTTTTTTTCTGGATGAATTCCGTGAATGTTAAAGTAACGATACGTATCAACTCCTCCATGAACAGGGGGGACTGAAATCTCTGGCATAATGCCAAAAATCAATTTAGTATGAAAATGTTTTCATAAACATGTACATTTTTACAACTTTTTTTTAGAGATACTTGTGATATTTTCCATTATTAAGACTGAAACACCAATTTTAGAAGTCTCAATAGAAACAGACCTGAACAGCTGGGAAGCCCATGAACCACCTTCCTGTGGGTGAAGGACCCTTTTTGACCTTCAGCATTTCTTTGGGATGAGCAGAAACTCCAGGCAGTCTTACCATCAAACCTTTGACTAAGGGAGGTTGTCACAATTTTTATAAATAATACCAAAAACCTCATCTGTTGATTGGAGCTGAAGTCACTCATTGCATGAAGTCATTGGCGTAGCATGTGCAAAAGTCTGGGCAGCACCCCTGGGTGTAGGCATTAGTTTATATTCCCTGGATGAATTCCCAGCCAAGTGCTATGAGCACGCTAAGCTGAATGCCACCTCAACATTTATCTTAGATTCAAGGCTAATTTATTTTCTAGAGGACTGTTGATTTTAAAAAGCAGTGTTTTAAAAAAAATCTCTTATATCCTAGGACTTCTCTGGGCAAATGGACTTTTGAGGAATTATTTTTTCAGTTCAGTATAAAAGAGGTTTAACTAGAGAACCACCATGATCAGTGCTTTGCTTTTCAGGGACTGGCAACGCATCCTCAAATGTATTTTAATTCCTAACAAATTGAGAATTTGCATTCAGCTTTGGAGAAAATGCATGTATATTCTTATGGGCAGAGTTTATCCTTTGATAAATTTCCTTTTTTTAAGTGTTTCGGTAATTTAGTGAGAAATAGGAAGCCAGGAGACAGTTCCAACACAATCATTTTATCTGTTCTCTGTCCAAACATTTACTAACTTCCCAAGCGGGAAGTTTCTCATCCTGTCTGAGGGGCAGTTTAGCATTAGCTAAAATATATATTAGCGTGATGAAACATTTACCTCCATTTACAATTTGCTGAAGTGGCTTTTTTCTCCCACAATGGAGATGTGAGGCCACTGATGCACACAGTGTTAGTAGAAATACCAGAAGGTTTGAATAAAACACCAATGAAGTGTTTCATGCCTATCTCTCCATACCTTTTTGTAACTGCATACATCACTGGAAATGCTGAAAGTCTGCTCTGAAATCCCCTCTTGTCTATCCTTCAGAATAATTTTCTCAAAAAATAATTTGAGGCTATGAAACTCGGTAAGGAACTTTGATAAAATGGGATTGAGAAGACTATCAACATGGGAAATTGTCCACCTCATGCCTCACTTTGGTCTTTTCTTGGTAGGAAAGAATGTTAACTCAGGTCTTCATGATGTGTTTGGCAGGTTATTACAGCCGTGACTGTGTGCTGCTCTTTCACTTTGAAACAGGCTTTCTTCTCAGCATTGAATACTAACAAGTGTTTAAATAATATATATACATGTATTATTTTTTATTTTCTCATTTATACAATTTTTTATTCATTTTTTTCAGTTAATTTTGGAATTCTAATCTTAAAATCTATCAAAGATCAGCCTTAGTTCTACTTGATGTTTCCATCCAACTTTTTTTTCTCTACATAGTGAGAGTGAGCCAGGAGATACCAAATGCATGTTCACTCCCAGGCATTAACCTTTTGACTCCAAGCTGCTTCACAAAGGTTGTTTTTATAACCAAGGTAGATTTATTTTTTCCTTGGAGGATTCTCCCCAGAGTCTCTTCTTAATCCTTCCCTTCAAAGCCCTTCACAGCCACATGAGCAGTTCCAGGCTGAGTCACAGGCAAGAATGATGTCCTTCAAGACCATTTCTGTGCCATCGAGAGAGGATTATTCTGGAGAAGCAACCTCATGATCCAGCACCCACACAGCTCCTGGCCTCTGTGGAGCTTCCCAGTGCTCGAACATGGAGACCAGCTTGTCTTAGTGACTCATAGAATAAGAATACAGATTAGCTTGTCAGGCTGTCCTGCGGATGCTCAGTCAGGCTTTTCATCCCTCGCCTGTTCTGGTGGCTACACAGGGAGGTCTGGAAATATTAACATGTCATTAGCAGCTTTTATTTAGGAAAAGAGGAGGGCAATCCCTAAAACAATTCTTTTTGTTTCAGCAACCCTATGTCTAGGAATTCCTGGAACAAAGGGTCATAAATGTAAGCAGGTGTCATTCAGAGCACGTTAGAAATCATAAAATCTGGGCTCTGTGCTGGCCAGTCATACTGTCCAATCGTACAGTATCTTGGCCTTGACTTGCTGTGGGAGGGCTCGGTGCAGGTAGTGAAGGTTTCTGCTGGGATGTTATCTGAGTGCTCTCAGCCACTCTTTAGTGCCCAAAGACAGGAGAACACTCAAAGAACTCATTGCCACACCAGGGATCTTGGACTGAGGACTGTATTACCATACTGACAAAAAGAAAAGATGCCAGAATTTGCTGTGCATCATGAAGAGACGCCTGTTTTTCTTTTAGTGATGCAGAGAACCCACAGTGGTTGGTTTGATACCGTTTCAAACTGATCCCGGGCCGTTCTCCGGGTCCAAGGACGTGCCATGGGGGATGAGCTGTACCCTGCAATCCTGAGCCGTCAGGATGAGGTGTGCAACCTCGAGCAGCAAGGGACGACGCTGAGGCTGCTCTGAAGCGTGCCAGGATCCACATTGGTCCCAGAAAGTCAATGACCCCAGACCCTAATCCTTTGCCAGGACCATCTGGGTCACAGGCAGTCGGCTCCCTGAAACTTCAGAGTTGTTTAGAAGGCAATAGCATCCAAGTGTTTATTCCTTTTTTTAGTTAATGAACATGTAAATGAATGTAAAAACACAAATAGAAGACAAATGATATTTTCCTAGCAAACTGAGCGTGTTGCTTGTGTGTACTGAAGATTTAATAAGCATGATTAAGTCTAGGCAACCATTGAGAGGAGAAAAGTTTGTCCTCAGGCAGAGGAGCCTTTCCCAGTTTGTGTTCTGAAAACCGAACCAGTTCAGAATGGGAACAGCTGCAAAGCTCCCTTTTATTTTTACATTGAGATACAAGAGCAGCATTTTCCCCAGAAAGAAGATAATCTGAGTATGACTTTGCCTCAAGGTGTAGCCCCGTACTTCTTCAGGGCTGTTTGGTTGCTCCCGTAAATCTCTCTGAAACATTTGGTGTCTGAAATAGCAGGGAAGCAAAGCCGGTGGGGATGGGATCTTTTTTGGGGAGGCAGTGGTCACTGGGTCTGCTCAGGGCCATCGTCTGCACTGGGCAGTTCTGGGATGAATTACTCTCTGTATTTACTTCTCTGCCTTGATTATTGTATTTTGTCTCTTCAGCGAGATGGCAGAAAGAGGTCGACCTGGTGCCTGCTGTGATATATATTATGTCTTCTCAACTTCCTCGGAAAATGGAAGGGCTTAAAAGTTTGCACGTGTATTTACTTTATACGCATGTTCTGCAAACCTACTGGCAAATAGCTTTGATGTTCAGAGTGTTGTGACTACACAGGGCATCGTACCCCATCCTCGGTGCCCCAGGGAATCATCTTGGTGTAAATCTAAATAACGCAGCTGTGCAGGCAGCAGTGCTCTCCTCCCTCCTCTCCCTGAAAACCGTGGTTAGACAGTCTCTTTCACCAAAAATCAGTCCTGTTTACTCTACTAGTGGCTTCCCACCTTGTACAAACACCATCCCTTCCCATTCAGAAACCATTTTTGCAAGGAAGGTGTTAAAATCATCTTTTTCTGAGACTCACCGACAGCTAAGACCAGTAATTATTTTCACATATCCAGGGAAATGCTGATTGGAATTATTGCACATATCTTCATATGTGATCAGAAAAGGGTAATATAATTTTCCTCTTCCTAATGTTCAGCATAATTATTCACAGCCCTGCAAAACAGGTGTAAATTGAATCAGAAATGATCGTACAAGGCCACACATCAGCTGAGGATGCAGCCAGTGGGCGCGGGTGCAATTACCTGCACGAGCACGTCGGAGAAATAGATTACTTGATGGAGCAGACGTCATTGCTGGTTCTTTATCTGAGTAAGGTGCATACACGTGTGCATGGAACAACGACAGAAGTCCTGTGCATTTAGAATAAATGAATTCTGCAATGAAGGCAGTTGCTGTGGGTCTTATCCATCCCCCCCTTTCTGTGGGGCAGCTTCAGGGACTGAAGATGAAGTTAAATGCAGGTTCAGACCCAGTAGCATATCATGACTACAGGGAATGTGGCATTTAAAATTTCAGTAAGCACAGATCCCTCTAATACTAACTTTATTTTTCCTCTGCTAGACAACCTCTTCAGACCAAAGGAAAGATTCATTCCGGAGAAGGAGATGCATATGAGATCGAAAAGGTACAGATCGCTTCGGTTTAGAGTACACTGCGAATCACTGCCCTCTCACTCCCAAGGAAGCTTGTTTCCATGTCATCTTCATCCACAGGAGTGCTGGCCTGTCACGCTGCTTGCTCTAGTTTTGTTCAATACTCGTGTTTTTCATCCACTGTACTAGCCTGATAGATTCACCATCGTTTATGGCAAGGATAGCTGCAAATGGCTACCTGGAGTGCTCAAGGTTTACCCCATTTCTCTGCTCCAGAATGCAATCTCCAGCCAAAACAGGCTGCTTTAAGAACTCAATATTGCCCACAAGGATCATCCAGGGGCTGGAGCACCTCTGCTACAAGGACAGGCTGCGGGAGCTGGGATGGTTCAGTCTGGAAAAGAGAAGACTTTGGGGTGACCTAAGAGCTGCCTTCCAATACCTGAAGGGAACCTACAGGAAGGCTGAGGAGGGACTTTTTACAAGAGTGTCCAGCAATAGGAAAAGGGGAAATGGGTTTAAGTTGAAGGAGAATAGATTTAGATTGGATCTTAGGAAGACGTTCTTCAGTACGAGGGCAGCAAGACTTTGGAATAAATTGCCCAGAGATGTTGTGGCTGCCCCCTCCCTGGAGGTGTTCAAGGCCAAGTTGGACGGAGCCTTGAGTAGCCTGATCTAGTTGAGAGGTGTCCCTGCCCATGACAGGGAGGTTGGACTAGATGATCTCTAAGGTCCCTTCCAGCCTCGGCCATTCTAGGATTCTATGATTCTAGGAAATATTGCGAGGAAAAATCAGAACTGAACAGTCTTTGTATGCATGTAAAGCATGGGACTGCTGCAAGGGAATGTCCAACTTTCTTTTCAACCCCCTGGGAATTTTATCATTAATTTGAGGAGAAGAAGATCAGACTAGAAGTCACCTTTCTGAGGGCAAATCATGTTATTTTAAAAATGGGTAGATTATGTTCTCCTTGGTAAAAAGAGTTCCTAATGATAGTGAAAAAAATGTTAACAGCCTACAGTCTTATAATGATGGTTTTCTTCTCTTTTAGAAAAATACTTGAAGATAATTGCTTGGTATTAATTTTGTGACATAATTATAAGAAAGTGTACAGGCCAGATTCTGGTTTGAATTATGTTACTATAAATTGAAAGCAACTCCACTGAGCTCATTAGAAGCTACTCTAGAATTATGCTGTTGCACTGAGATAACCTGCTTCCATCTCTTTCTTTACTTTTTAGTTCAAAATTAGGAGTGTTTTTCAGGTCAGATTTTGTATAAAAACATTATTGTTAATAACTTATAATTCCCCTGTCATGAATCTAATTCTAAGTACTTGGGGATGCCCATTAATGCCAAGTATTACACCGAAGGCAAAGGTTTCCTATAGGAAAACCAAATTATTTGTGAGTCTCGGGGATGGTGTGTGAGGTTAACTTCCTACATTCATTCCAGGATTTATGACAATTTACCCGAAGTAAAAAAGAGACAAGAAGAGAAACAGAAACGGATCATCATCCAGAGCAACAGGCTGCGCGTCGAGATCTTTAAAAAGGTAAGGAATCAGTGTGAATGCCAAGCACACTTTGTAACCCTTCTTTACCTGTCAGTGGAGGCAGGACCTGCCTGGGGAGCCTGCACTAATCATGTGCAAACCCTGAGAACAAAGGAGGCTCCTTCAATCTTAACCTTGGGGTGAGGCACTTCTTCAAATTTGAATTAACAGCTGCACCTTGTGCTGGAATAAGCACCCTCCTTTCGAAATGAGTAATTAGTTGTGGTAGAAAGCTGCATTAGCAGTTAATCCAGGTGCAGACCTGAGGCGTTCCTGAAAATTCCTGCTCCACGCTGCACACAAGTACCGGTTTCCCCTTGTTTAAGTGCTCTATTCTGCCATCTAATTACACCTTTATTGTCCAAGATGGAAAAGCTTTCAGTGCTTTTTTTTTTTTTTGCCCTTTTTTTTTTTTTTTCTGAGCAATGTACCCAGTAGACTTGAAGTCTGAAAACGCTAATGCCATCCCACCTGCAGTATCATGGAAGATTTCTACGGTTAGAACAACCTTGTGTATTTTAAAGGTATCTTAAGGCTGGTTTACATTGTTGGGGTTTTTTGTGTTTGTTTCTCCTAGCAATTACTGGACCGGCTCCTTCAAAGAAACACAGAGTGACAAAGGATTCTCTTGCCCATCGTCCTAATTGGATCTTGAATGCCTTTGACTGCTAGATAAGCCATAAAATTTACTGTTATCTCAAATGCCTGGAGGCATTTTTCTTATCTTTGGCTTTTTATATAAAGGAAGATCGTTTATATTTCAATTGAAATTTTACGGCAACTTTCAAGTAATCAAAAACAGTCTAAACAGGAACACAGCTGTTTCAGAGCATCACCTTTTGGGGCAGTTTACCCAGAGGAAATAATTTTCAGGATTTTTAATGCAAATGCTGAATTACAGCGGTATTATTTATCTTAACCTTTTAAAAACTATATGTGTCTCTAGCAATAGAACTGGGTTTATAAGATTTGGAAAACCTATTTCTCCAAAGTGTTCTATTAATTGATTTCCTGTGGGTTAAATCCTTGAAGTAAAGAAAAATGAATATCGTTATTTGTTATGTTTAGAATCTAGCTGAAATAGCATTACCACATAATCATAGCAGCAGCAGTTTCACATTAATACTTAACATACCAAAAGGGACCAATATTTTAGCTCTCTGAAGAACTCTATTCCTGTTTATATAGTGAATCTACATAGCAAGTTTACCTGTTAATGAGCAATATTTAAAAATTTGACTGTAACAGTGTTTTTTTGTGTTTTTCATTGTAATATATATTTTACTCCACTTCTGTGAGCATTAAGTATTTATAGAAATGGCATGCTAAGAAGTGGTGCCAAGAAGTATGTTTGCATCAAAACTGCAAAACTAAAACCATCTGTAATGTTTCCTCCGAAAATATTTAAATCTTTATTTGTACATTTTGGAAGTAAAAACAAGCAGCTTACAAACCAACGGACTTTATTTATGGAATAAAATATGAATATAATATTGATCCAACAGCTATATTTTTATTTGGTACTGTTAAATATAACACAGCCATTGAAACTGCTTGAGAAGTTATGCCACAAATCCTACGGTAAAAAATACTGCCCATAAAAATCATTGCAAGCATTAACCTCTTTTGCACGAACACTTGGCTGAGTGTGTTTGAATGAGGCTGGAATCTGGCCTTTGATATCTACGCTTTATTTTTCTAATCTAGCTGAAGATGTAAGGTCAGGTTTTTGGGAAGAAGGTTGTTTGTGAGCTGGGTTTTGGCCACTGAGATAATCTCCAGCTGCGTGACCTGTGCTGGACACAAAGAACTTGGGTTTATTTTGTTCTCTGTCCCATTAGATTACTTTTCCTCTTTGTGTTTCAGCTTCCCAGTTTGTAAAGTAGGATTAATGATGCTAATTTTTGCTCACCAAGAAGGTAGAGATTTATTGAACAAATATATTGCATTCCAGAGAGGTATCTTTAAAAACTTGCCAATTAGTTCAATACCCTTCGAGAGGAGATGTAAGGTGAGGTAATGCTGACTGTGAGGAAGAAGCTGCAGGGATTCTTCCCCAGAAAAAGTCTTTTTCATCAAATAAGTAATGCTGTGCTGGAAACTGAAGTCAGAGCTGGACCACAAACGGCCTCTCTTGTAAAAAAGACTCAAGAAGGAGCATCCTCCAAGCTTTGCAGCTCAGCTGCATGGTAGATCTGCTCCTCTGTGAGTTCGTTGATCTCTCTTGCTGCTCTGTAGGAAAAAAAAAAACAACCCAACATATGTGGCCTGCCTCAAACAGGAGGAGCTTTGTCTCTGTGGTGGACCTCTGGGTCTCCACCATCAAGGGATAAATTGTAGCCATAAACACACCCACACGCTTGGTCTCCTAGCCTGAATCTGAAGGATTATCTTTCGAGCTTTCTTCCAATTATAGCTCACTGCAACAACTGGAGACACTTCCTATAAAAGTCAGCGCCAAAACCTCCTTTGATTTCAGTAAGAATCTAGCCTTTGGTTCCTGAGTCTCTAGTTTCTTGACTTCACAGAAAGGCAGCTTTGGTTCATCAGGTTTGTACCCTTCAGGAGCATTATTTCCTGCATACAGCCGTAGAGAAATATTATATACATCTAAGCCTACTTTGCTGTATACATTTAAGCCAGCTCCTAGTCTTACCCTAGGGCCACAGCGAGAGGTTTTGGGACAGAGACAAGACATTTAGTAGTCGGTATCCAAAGAGCACACGGCAAGATACTCAGTGCTGGGTGATGGATCTCCCTGGGTGTGGGACTGACACCTAAAGCCACCTGGAGAAAAGAGCCCCAAAACTTTTCCCACTTCTTCTCTAGCAGGGTAGAAGAGCCAGAGCGTTG